TCTGCAGCGGCCTCGAAGGCCAAGAGCCGCTTGGGGCTGTTCGAGAAGTGACTGTAGATGACCCGGACCAGTGCCTTTAGGGTGCTGATGACTGCCGCCTGCTCCTGGGCACCGGCTGCCAGCTGCGTCCGGTGAGCCATGCAGTGGATGGTAACGATGTGCGGAGCAAGGTCCGTCATCTGAGTCGAGACCCCGTTGTGCACTCCCGTCATGACGCTTGCCCCGTCAGTGCTCACGGCGACCAGCTTCTGCGCAAGCTCGTTGGCCGTCAGCCCAGCTCTGTCCGCCAGCACCTCCAGCAGCAAGCTGGTGATGTTGTCCGCTGTCGGTGCCGCCTCCAGTTTTGCCAGCTGTAGGACACGAAAAGAGAGACAAACAGAGACTTTAATGGGGTCTATCCACGGCCAAAAAAAACGGTTGAAGGAGGAAGCCGTCTAGACTGAGGAAATGTGGACAAAAGAGTAACGGTTAAAAGAGCTGGGCTCCCAGCAATTCACCCCGGCATTACGTTAATTTTAAACCTTCCCATCATCCCGGCCTCACATCAATGCACAGCGGGATCCGGCTCCAGCCCTCCATGACATAGACGTGAACGCAGAGCCGGGACCTCTTGTCAATGCCCCTGGACTCGTCCAGGCTCACGGATACAAAGCGGTTGGCGGCGACCAGCCTGCGGATTTCGTCCTTGAGCACCGCATCCAGGGCCTCGGCAAGCTGCCAGGCACTGTTGCAGCTCCAGTGCTTATCACGGTAGTGTGGCACGTCCAGCACCTGGAACAGGTCCTTAGAGCCGACATAGTCGAGGATGGGGCGCCCGTGATCCAGCATGAAGAAGAGCTGCCGCAGCTGCTGCACAACTCCCCTCTCGGACTTGCTGAGTGCTCTGGACAAAAGGTTGTCGACCGTCCGCGCTGTCAGCTGGTGCCGCTCGTGCTGAAGGGCCCGCGCTTCGTGGCTGCACATGGCTTCTTAGTGTTTTTTGGAGAGCTCGTGGCTTTTTAGCGTGGCCTGCCTGGCATCCATCGTGACGTCCCGCCGCCGGCTGAGGGAGCAGGGACCGCACCGACGCATTCCCTCGTTCTCCCGCCAGCTCCCATCGCTTTGGCCTTTCAGCACACGCTGTGTTTGCTGGCGCCGCGCCTGCTTTTGAATCACCAGCGGCGCGTGCTGCGAAGCACCCGCCCTTGAAGGTGGCGGTGGTGCCGTGGCGACATCTTGGGGTGGTGGCCCTTCCTCGTCAGAATCAAGCTGGTCAGCATCTGAGTCGCTGATTG